AGAAACTTCATAGTTAATATGTAGGTCTGGAAGAAGCTTTCTTTGGAAAACAGATTTACAGCTCAAAATAGTTCAATAAAGTCTGTTTAACCCTGGAAAATAAATTAAGCACATGAAACCATGGCTGAGTTTTAAGAAATGGAGACCACAAGAGTTACAAATATATCCAGGAGTAAAGTTACATATTGTACACAAAAAGAAGAAAACAAAAGAAGGCAATATTCTCGTTCTTAAGAATAAATCACAGGGCCTCCCTGGTAGGGCAAGGGGTTAAGACACAACCAATGAAGCTATCCACAGCCACTGCAGCACAAGTTCAATCTCCAGCCAGGGAGCTGCCCACATGGTACAGCAGACCTCTCCTGCCTTGCCCACTGTTCCCCTCAGCAGTGTATTTCAGTCAATCTGCCTGTTCTGCTCCCCACGCTGTCTCTGGTGAATCCTCTCACCCCCCCCCCACACACATACACACACACATACCTCTGGCCTGTACCCCAGTTCTTGTATGCATATTAAATCTTTAAAAAAAGAATAAATAAATCACAGCCCACTATAGTAATGTTAGGAATTTTTTCAGCAATTTTTCTTCTCATCTTCAATTCAGTAGTTTCTAGAATTAAAGAATTGGCGGGGGTTGGTAGAGTATTCATTGACTATAGAGCTGCATCTGAGATTAATGATTATAGCTTATCATACATGCTAAGGGCAGTAAGAAAATAACCACAAAGCAAAGTTTTCTTAATACTTGAGGTACGACAATCAATTCTGAACAGCATACTATTAATCTAGACTTACATAAATGAATACTTAGTAATGGTTTTAATTTTTTAATTACAGACTATGTTAACATTAGTTTGTAGCAAACTAAGAAGTTCATCATAAGAAACTACTTATTCTAAATACACAATATGAAGTGAAATATCTGGTTATGCAAAATTAACAACTGAATGCAATACCTAAAATACAGAGATGTATTAACTGATGGGGCTAACAACAATGGAGAAAATCTTTGCAAATGATATATTCTTCAATGGAATTAAGTTAAGATGAAGGTGACACTTCAAATCTTTGAGGAACCACACATTTAATTTTCACTGATGAAACTGGCAAAGATTAGAACACTAGTTAATATTTAGCCTAATGTAGAAAAATATTTTCTTGAAAATTGCTAGTAAGAATGGATAAGAATTTCACTGAAATTTTGAATATTTATCATATATACTTTGACCCAGCAATTCTATGTCAAATTCATAAGTTGTAGCAAACTCAATGCTACAAATTCATCCTACAGATACAGAAATCCCATACTCACACAGTCCCAATGACTTAGTAAAGAATATTTATTGCAGCATTACTTATACAAGCAAAACAAAAAGCCCCAAAGATGTATCCATCCCCAAAGATGGAATGCATATGAAAAAGGTCTAAGATATATTGACAAATGGAAAAAGGAGCAAAATACATACCAGTTATGTTTAGTAACATGGATTAACTGGTGGTTACGAGGAGAATTTTCTTTCTTAAACATTTCTGTACTATTTGTTCATATAGCTAAGCATATGTGACTTTGATTAAAATTTTTTTTGAAAATATTAAACATTCATTGGCAAAATACTTTTTAAAAAGGTCAAATGTACATTACAATCTCATCTAAAATGAAGAACAATAATTTTGTTCTTTTCGACATTGCAAATAGGGTAGGGTATTTGAAGTACTACTAATGAAATTAAAGCACAAAAAGGGTTAATTTGGAAATTAAGCTAATGTAAGACAAACGTTCATAAACAATTTCACATTCTTGAATTCAGGGATTCTGTAAAATGAAACAGCTTACAAGCAGATGACTATGTGAAATACTGAAGCACAAAAGGAAGAAGAGGAGTCTGAAATCATGGTATACCTATCAGCCTCCAAGAGAAAACTAGTTTAAAATCTTAGAAATGTGTAAGTCAAGCTTAAAATTTTCTGAATACTCAAATTTTACCTACAAGAAACAAAAACACAAACACACTTTGCATCCAGGATGAACAAAAAGAAACAATACTGTAAGAATCTATGCCGAAGAAAATCCTAGAAAGGAGCCAGAAGGAATAGCATGGGATGGGGTCAATGTCCAAACCTGTGTTCAACTTCCATGGCAGAAGTTGCAGAGAGGAAAAGCAACAAATTGATCCCATTGGGGAAGAACCTTTCCTTGCTTTGGACTTGCTAGAAGGCAAACAAGCTTCAGGCATAAAAATCCCCCAGGTAACTATGACAGTAAACCCATCTGGCCAAATGTCACATATGGAAGAAGAAAACAAGTGCAAAATGCTTTAAATTTTTTTAAGTTTCTTCCTTAGGAAAGTATACTGTTTATATTTATTACAGATCTGCAATGATAAAAATTTCAAAAATACTTTTCAGGAAGCAGCAAGTTTCCTAAACTACAGGAATAAAAATTGTTATTACAATTCTACTCTATGATTTAATTTCTTCCTCCACACCCACAGCTTTTTACCTTGAGGAAAATGAGGCAGTTTCTTTACTTCTTAAAGATACGACCAGTTTTCCATTCTGCTTGTATTTGTCTAACACACCTTTTAATTTTTTTTAATTAAAAAAATAACTAGTACAAACTTACACTTCACTTTTCCTAACATGGATTAATGCCTTCATTTAGAATGATAATCAAATTTACCAAAGACAGTCTTCCATCAGATGTGAACTAAGAATATTACTACTTGGGGAGAATGTTTTATTTCTCTTCCCAAAGTACCTATAGCATTGCAGCCTACAGATTGCCCCTACTGGCTTCTTCCTACAAACCCAGTAGCAACTGAAGCACCAGTGCCACCATCCCATTCCAGTCAATATTCTGAATCACGATTTGAGAAAACAAACAATCATTAAGTATCTACAGTACCGTGGCACTATGTTTCTAAGATAAATAAGACATGGTTAAGACATGGTGTCTACCTCAAAGAGCTCACAGTCCAGAAAATAAAAGTCACTACAGTATGGCCAGGTCTGCCTAAGAACAAAATGTTATTTGAGATAAGACTATTTCTAGAAATAAGCTAACAATCAGGAGAAAAGGACATTGGTAGTTGGGGGACGAGAGGTTGTGGAAGAATGACAACATATATATAGGGTTAAAACTAGGAATATGAAATGTCATACTGTGTTTATTCAGAAATTCTAAGCATTTTGGAATAGCTGGAATAAGATAACTGTATCCACATTATAGAGCTTTCATTTTATTATAGAGGTGGGAGGAAATGATGAAATTTGGCAAGCAAGGTCAGACTTGGGACAATCAAAAAAATAAAAGAATGCATAAAAAAGTGCAATAAATTCACACAATGGAATATTACTCAGCACTAAAAATTAATGAACTACTGATACAACATGGAAGAAAGGCAAATACAAAAGAGTATGTATTATATATTTCTATATACATAATGTTCAAGAACAAGCAAAACTATGCTAGGCTTATACAATTCGGAAAAGATAACTCACCTCAGGGGGGAAGGCTATTGGGTTTGGAAAGGGAGTAACACAAGGCATTTTCTGGGACAAAGAAAATGTTCTAAATCTTGATCTAGATGGTGGCTACACGTGTGAACAAGTATGTAAAAATTCATTCGACTTCACATTTTATCATATGTATATTATAATAATAAAAAGGTGAATCACACACCTTAATAAAAAAAAGAAAGAAAGAAAAAATGCATGTGATTGTGGTAGAATAAGGTCAGAATAAGTTAGACCAGTGTCATTTCATGAGCAGTATCTTATAGGAAATCAGAACACAGGTTCTAATGACACTATATTTTAAACTAGCAAAAAATATTCTTTAGACCTTAATGACAAAAATAAAAAGACTAGCTTCCTCTCTCCTCTGATGAAGATATATAAGCAAGTCTTCCTTACAATAAACACTACAAAAATACTCTTCCTAACGTACAATGCTATTAACCAAAAAAATAATATTTTCTATATAGCAGTACCTACCTTATAAGAGGTATTATTAAAGATTAATAAGGTATGAGAAGCAATTAACAAGAGAGTATAAGAAGTAATCTTCAAACTACCACTACTATAATTATATAATAAAATAAAAAGGAAACCAGCTTCAAATTAATCCTAAATCACTTATTGGGAATTCATTATTTAACTGCACATTACTCAACTACAGCATTTTTCAACATTGGGTTAAAAAAAAAAAAACACTGATATCAGCAAGTTTTTGACAACCAAACATCTGGTTAGATGAGAGAAATACCAAGTTAACTATAATTTTACCAAAGCTTTCCTTTTATTCCGTTTATATCTTGAAACCATGCTTATTTACTAATAATCAATGTACTTTTTAACATTTCAATAGTTTATAATATCAAAAATCACCTTTTTCACACATTACACCAAAAGTACACAATCATAATTCAATTTCCTGAAAGTGAATCTTAAAAATGTAAATAAAGTGAATCAGAATGCTGAGTTAAAATATTCTTTCCGTAGAGATACCTACCAGAAAAATATTAAAACTATCATTTTACAATTCTGAACCTTAGATTAACATAAAGAAGTCACAATTTGGCAAATCTAGCCAATTTGGGAAAATGCTTTTCTAACAAGAAATAAAGTAAAATTCACTAAAGACGACTCATGTATTAAAATGCGCTATAAGAATATTAAAGCAATGTAGCAAATTTCTTAGTAAACTGGTAACTGAGTGGCTGTACACCAAACATCAATTTGATTTTCAAACAAGTTTAACCATCACTGGAAACCGCATACTTACAGCAACTGTAACATACGAAGAAAATCATAGTCTCACAATTTGTTATCTATTTTTTTATTAGACCAAGTATATCAAAAAAATCAATTCTTCATTTCTCAAAAATTTTATTTAAAAAACTCACTGAATCTGGACATTAAGTTAGTTTTAAAAGATAAGAGTTTTGTATTATCCCTACTTTAATATGTAACTTTTAACAAAATCATTTTCTACTTACCTAGATTTTGTCTTATTAACATCTCGCTGCAAGAACAATCTCATTCGAAATTAAATCAAACCTGAAAGAATACATGTAAAGGCCATCATTTAGTTTTTGCTTCAGGTATATGTAAATACATCTATGATGCACTATTCTTTTCAAATTACAAACTGCAAATAAAATTATATTCTTGATATATCATCTATCCGAAAAAGTGTTCAAATAAAACATGATTATTTAACCCTTAGGAAATGATTGCTAAGTTCCATTTTTTAAAGGAACAATTAGTCTGCTCAAACAAAAAATTTCAAGTATTTCTCTTCAAAAATTTGTAGAGTAACTTGTTTTCATTAATTTTAATAGCACGGCAATAGCAATACTTAAAATCAGTATTTGTTACTAAAACTCACACTTCTATCAAGATCAATGTTTATCTTAACACTATTCTGTACATACCAAAAAATATACCAAAATGCTGAAAATAAATACGTATAAAAGAATATACTAATAGTAGCCATAATAATGGCTAATATTAATTATTTACTAAATGCCAGAGACCTCTAGTCTAGAGAATAGCATACATTGATACTCTTCTACTTCCTTAATTCAATCTTTAGTATGATGTGACCTCCATCCCAACACTTTCCTGAAATTTTACTTGTCAAAAGTCTATGTGCCACTAATTTATCTTCTTCTACAAATTCTGAAAACTCAGAATGCCCCACTCAGAGCTCTACACATCTCCATCCCCTACTTGAAAGCAGCTTATTACTCTTCTGAATTTTTTCTCAAAATGGAATTACTCTAACTAAACCTATTCACACCTAATTACTGTAACTGTTCTATTCCCAGACTATTATTTCAAATTCATCTTTTCCAGAACTATCTAAGTAATCATTCCGCAGTTAAAATCCTGAAGATGTCCTATCCATATCCTCCAATAATCCTCATCAATCTCAGCCTTATCTATCCCCAATTTTTACTGCTCCATTCACTCTATGTCCCACCATTCCAAACCATTTCATCTCCAGCAGCAGCCCCCAAGCCCTCTCAGCTTTCATGCCTTTCTACATGGTGAATTAATGTACCTTCTTCTAGCTCTAACTCTGGTAATACCTTTTTAGCAGTTTTTCAATATTCAGCTCAGTCTCCCTCACAGATCTTTCTTTAATTTATTCATTTACATACAGCTGTGTTTTTCAATTGCTATAGCAACTATTAATAGTTCCTTATCAACTATATCTATCTAACCCATTCTAAACAACAGAGCGGACACAGAGAGGACAAGAATTCATTTACCTCATTTTGGCACTTTCAGTGCATGGTATACAGCAAAAAATATAATCACGTAGACTAAATGAAATAATAGAAATTTTGTGCTGTATCTCAAATTTTATATAGGGATACTAAAGACAAACAAAATTCAGCCTAAGGAGTTTAATTCACATTTTCAATGACTAGAGGAAAAAAACCCTTATCATTTCTCAAGCCAGTCACATTACTTCATGAAATAACTATATCTAAATAAAAACAAAAGTGACAAAAATTATCCTAGAGCAATCTTTTGATGAGTGGATTAATTTCACTGATTATCCATATCAAGATTTTGGTACTAAACGTTTATATCACTACAAAAAACAAAGTTTATAAACTATAAATCCTGATTAAAGTATTAGCCTTAGCAGAAAAGAGTTGGCAAGGAAGACAAATATAATTTTAATACTAACAATGTCAGTAAACTAGAAAAGTGATTCTCAAGCTTTAGTGTGAAGCAGCATCACCTGGAGTGCTTGTTTCCTGCATCCCTTCCCCTCTTTACTGCCAATTAGTGTAGCTTTCTCCAAATAAAATAATACTGTGATTATAAAAATAAAAAAAACAGGCAAAGGATTTGAATAAGCAAATATTCAAAAAAGAAAACAGGTCCAAGTAGGGTCTTCCTGGTGGCACAAGGGGTTAAGTCTCAGCACTATGACGCTATCCATAGCCACTGCAGCACTAGTTCCATCCCAGGCCAGGGAGCTAACCCACATGGCACAGCAGACCTCTCCTGTCTCTCCCACTGCTCCCCTCTGCAGTGTATTTCAGTCAATCCACCTGTTCTGCACCCTACTCTGTCTCTGGTGCACCTGTCTCCCACTGCACCTCTAGCCTACACTCCAGCTTTTATATGCATAAATAAATAGATCTTTAAAAAAAGAAAAAGTCCATGTATCTGAAAAGATGTTCAATATGGCCAATTGCAACAAAATGCAAATGAAAACCATAATGATATATAATTTCACACACACGAGGATGCTTAAAAACATGAAGAACAGAAAATAACAAGTGTTGACAAACAGGCGAGATCTGGAACCCTTTGAATCACTAGTAGAAATGTAAAATGGTGCAGCCATCATGTTATTATTTTGTGTTATTGTTCAAAAATTAAAAACAGGATTACTATATGATCCAGCAATCCCAGTTCTGGTCACATATCAAAAAGAATTCAAAGCGGGATTGCAAAGAGATACTTATACACTCATGCTTGTTGCAGCATAACTCACAATGGCAAACTCACAAATATGCCCAGCAAGATCAGAAAAAGTCAAATATATACCTATTATATGATTCAGCCATTCCATTCCTAGACAAAACCAAAGAAATGAAATCATTTGTTTATACCAAGAGGCACAAGAGTAAGACATGTTTACAATATCTTAAATAGTGATAATTTCACGGGTCCATGTAGACATCAAATCTGTTAAGTTTGTATACTTTAAGCATGTGGTTTCTTACATGTCAATTAGAAATCAACAATTAACATAAAAAGAACAGTGCCATTTATAATTCTTAAAAAGTAAAGGCAAAAATGAACAATCTTTTAACACTTAGAACTGGCAATTACCCTACAATTGGTAATCAAGGCATGAATAATGCTTCCACTCATCAGATACAGCCTATCAAACAATGCTAACAAGATAATCTCACTACTGACCAGATTGATGTATTTTATTTGTACTTGTCCCAACTTCTCTACCCAAACACAATTCCCACTGAAATATGAGGTTCAATCTAGAGCTAAACAAACATTAGAAAGCTTGTCAGACAAACAGCCCCAATTCTGTACCAGAATTATTCATGTATTTGGCAATGAAGCATGCAGATTTTCTACTCAAGAAGTAAAATCTTCTGGGCTTGACTATATATGGAAGACCAGTGGAATGCATAATAGCGTAAATCCAAAATTCGCCAGTTCTAAGCTAGGCCTCAAGAGACTGCATACTTCTGCTGCCTCTTAAAAAGCTGTCATTACCATGAGAATAAGTCCACTCTAATCTGCTGGGGAATGAAGAGTCTAGCCTGGATGTTCCACTGAGGGGCCATTCTACAGAACCCAGCGAAGAGAAGCAAAGTCATATTCCAACCTCCTGGTAAATGCAAACTCACAAATACCCAAATATCACTCTATCCAAAAGATACCATATTATATATGGCCCACGAAGGTGTTATTTCAGATTAACAATCTAGATGACCAAACTTCTGAAGGCAGTGGGGGAAAAAATGAAACATAAAAGTCTTGCTTCCTTTTATTAGCATTGATTATGAAACACTCTGTCACCGTTTGTCAATCTCAAAAATATATGAATTGAACAAAATGATTTTTGCAAGAAAGAACGTTACCAGTCAGTAATTTTTCATGAAATTTCATTGCTTGAGAAACTGATTGGATTCAGTCATACAATGAAAATTTTCAGGATACTCTAAAAACCTAGGAAACTGTTACAGAGCAATTTGCTATCCTGCCTAACATTGTTTATACTATTTGTTAATGGCACCTTTATTCCTTTTCAAAGAAGCACTTTTTTTTTAAAGATCTATTTATTTATGCAAACAAGAGCTGGGGTACAGGCCAGAGGTAGGGTTTGGGGAGGAGAGGATTCACGAGAGACAGTGGGATACAGAACAGGCAGACTGAAATACACTGCAGAGGGGTGCAGTGGGTGAGACAGGAGAGGTCTGCTGAGCCAAGTGGGCTGCTCCCCTGGCCGGCCCAGGGATCACACTCATGCTGCAGAGGCTGCAGAGGGGATTGCACTTGTGCTGCAGAGGCTGCGGATTGCTTCATAGTGCTGTGCTTAACCCTTTGCACCACCTGGGAGTCCCTCAAAGAAACACTTTTACTCAACTACTATAGTGGAATCAAGTCTAGATTTTGAAGCAAGGAATGAACAAGAAATATCCAGGTTGATCACAATACATTGTCTTCCTCACCATGGTATTTTGTTCATAAATGAAAAAGCACCATTTTCCAAAAGCATATGTTCAATATTTATGTCTCTAGGTCACATCTTGTAATTCTCACATATCAAACTTTTTCATTATTGTTATGGTGATGTTTGATGATCACCATACCCTTTGGTGATCATTCATATTTGAAGAAACTGTTGTAATTATTTTGGAGCACCACAAACTGTACTCATATAAGACAACAAACTTAATAAATGTTTGTGTTTTTCTAATAAAGATTGACATATGCCTATGTTCACAGCAGCGTTGTCCACAATCACCTAGTCACAGAACCAACCTAAGTGCCCTCAACAGAGGAATGGGTAAAGAAACTGTGGAATATATACTCAATGGAATACTACACAGCTGTTAAATAGATGAAACTGTCTTTTGGGTGACTTGTTAAATGAATTAAGTTTGAAAGTGAAAGATATTGCATGGTATCACTCATCTGTGACAAACAGCCAAAAAAAAAAAAAAGCCATACACAGGCAAAATACAACAGGAATAAATATTGGACTTAGTGAAAGAATTTAATGGTTGCCAGAAGAACAGAAGGGAGGTGGCAATGGGGGAGGGAGGCAGATGGGGTACTGGCACAGGTAGTTTAGTGGAGGGTGAATGGAACAGGGACAGCAAAATGTAAGCCCAACATTAACATTTTAAATAGTTGAATGTTTGGGGGGCCTCCCTAGTGGCACAAGGGGTTAAGCACTGCCCTATGAGGCTATCCACAGCCTCTGCAGCACGAATTCGATCCCCGGCCAGGGAGCAAGGGAGCAACCCACCTGGCGAGGCAGACCTCTCCTG